TTTGGAAGAACTCTAGAAGTGGTCTGATGTATTTGGGAGGATGAGCTTAGATTATTTGAAAACACGATATCACGTCATATAAAATTTTTGAGCATTCAGGAAATTTGGTGTTCAAAGAGGGCCCTGGGGGAATTCTGGTGGATACCGGAAATGGCTTGATTCAGATCCACCTTTTTTGGTCACACCGCTATCATGGTTTGGTTTTATTAAGGGATACTGATGCTTTTGCTTGGGTTTACAAACTTTGATGTCAGAATCTTGAAATTTTGTTTTTGATTATTCAAATATATCAAGATGCATAAATGTGTTACATGTTATAAAGATAAACAGGAATGGGGAAGCAGAAGTAAGAGCTTTAAGAAAGTCTCCTTGACTCAGTTTTTCTTAAGGAAGGGAATGGTTCTCCGGTGGTAGCTTTAGAAGCCTTGCTTCTGTGTCCTAAAGTCAACGTCATAGAAAGATTCCTATGATCCTCACTCCCTGCAAACCTGGAATAAAGGCAGATGTGAAGATAAGGCCCTTTCCCTCATCTGACTTCTGGAATTCAGTGAACGATGATGGAGCACCCCACATTATAATCCCCCATGTCCTGTAGGCTTTGAAAGAGATTGCAATAGAGGAATATAGCTTCTGCAATAGAGGAATATAGTTTCTGCAAGTATTAGAGACTGAAATGACTTTTTTAAAAACACCTCAAGCTAGGCATATGATGTAAACCTTTAATTCCAGCACTTTGGAGGCAGAGGCAGGTGCATCTCTGTAAGTTTGAGGCCAGCCTGGTCTCCAAGTTGAGCCCCGTAACAGCCAGAGCTACATAATGAGACCCTGTCTTGAAAAAATAAAAGACCCAATGAAACAAAACAAAAGAAACATATAAACACACACACACACACACACACACACTCACAGAGAGAGAGGGAAGGAGAGAGGGAGGGAGGGAGAGAGGGAGGAAGGGAAGAAGGGAGGGGGGAGAGAGAGAGAACTCATTCATTCCTCAAAACAAACTGAAATAGAGTGAAGAAATTATTTACATTCTGAAAACACATAAGTCATTGATCATCATGATCAAAGATTCCTGTATTTTCACAAAAGCAGATCTATGGCAGGGGAAATGACTCAGTAGACAAAAGTGCTTGTTGAGAAAACATAAGAACCTGATCTCCAGCCCCAGAACCGGGACACAAGGCCAGGTGTATTATAACCCAGTCCTTGGGAGGCAGAGGTGGATCTCTGGGGCTTTCAGGCCACAAGCTCAACCAAATCAGCAAGTTCCAGGTGTGGGACCCTGAGAGATCTTGACTCAAAAGACCCCTGACCTTCCCATACATGTTTAGATGAGTGCATATGCACGTACACACACACACACACACACACACACACACAGTGGATATGATTATATTTCAGTTACCTGGAAACATTTTTGGAATAGGTTTCTATGACCTTATTGCATTTTTGTGTGTGTGTGTGCTTGAGTTGGTCAATATAATAGAGAAGCAAGCATGAAATAGCACAGAGGAAACGTTTGCAAAAAAACATTTAGGAGTTACCTACTGAATCTTTAAGAGGAAGCAGAGAACAAGCTTGAAGGTCATGATTAAAATCCTTCCGGGAAAACTGTTGTGATCTTTGGTGAGATTAAAACTCACATTATTGAAATGTTGCCTGCAGCATTCAACACTTTCAGCCAGCATTAAACTGTGAACTGGTGAAATGAGTGTTGTGAGCTGGAGTCTCATTCTGATATGCCTGACAAAGCTCAATTGCAATGTGTGTCTTCTTTATGGATGCAAAATGGGAAGGTGCTGTGCTGTTAAAATGCATTTTTATTCATTAGTATTTCTCTTTAATTTTGAGGTACACTGAGTTAAAACTCTACTGATGAAGTCTGCATGATTTCATTCCATACCCAAACCATCATGTACATACCGCTAAAGTTGTCATCTTAAACACAGCAAGTGGAAGTCTAGGGGGCTCGGGATTTATTTGCCCAAGTGCCAGAAATCAGGTCTCACTACTCATGTAGCTCCAGATGCACGTTTTGAGAAACCTGCTTCCCATAGATCCATAGATGAAGAATGCTGCTTCACCTCCATCCTAACTACTCTAAATAGCCTGCATCTCAAAACTTGACCTTCCATAAACAAGCCTCCTCCTTCTCCTCCTCCTCCTTCTCTTCTTCCCCTTCCCCTCCTCCTCTTTCTTTTTTTCCTTTTTTTTTTTTTTTTTTTTTTTTTTTTTTTTTTTTTTTGAGACAGGGTCACTATGTAGACCTGGTTGGCCTCAAATTCATGGTCCTCTTGCCTCTGACTCCAAGTTCTAGGGTTATAGCATGCAACCCAACAGCTTCCTTAGGCAAACCTTTAACCAGTGACATTTCCAGCTTGCAGATTTAGTTTCCTTTAGAAGGAGAGAATCATGAGGGGAAAAATTGGAAATGCAGTCTCTCCTGGCATACTAGAACATTTTAGTTTGCAAATGGAATTCCCATTCTGAACATTGTTAGCTCAACCATTCCAACATAAACTATGAATGCCCAAATTAAAACCACCAGGCTAACTTAGGCCAACTGTTGGATTTCATGCAACGCAAAGAGCTAAGAATGCTTTCCGACAATACTGTTTAAAGCAGCTAAAGGTATCAAATATAAACCATAACTTGTGATGTAGAAATCATACCAACGTAAGCCACTCGAGTGAATGGTTTATGGTTTGTGGGCTTGGAGTGATGTGTCAACATTTGTGCATCTATCGTAATGAAGGCACCACTCTGACTGGGATATTAATAATACAGGAGGCTGTGTTGGAGCTCGGGAGAACATTAGATACTGCTATGCCTTCTGCTTTATGCTGTTGGGGACCTAAAGCAGCTCTAAAAGTTAGAGGCTGTTAAAACGTATATCAAGCTCAGTGACCCTGAGTTGGGTTTTAGTGGTGCACAGCTGTGCCCATTCATTCATATACTTTCTATGGCTGTTCTTACGGTACAAGAATTGAGCAGCTGCAACCCGAAAAGCCTTCAATATTTACTCCACGGGGAGAAGTTTTCTGACTGTCCTTCTATTGCATCTGGTACTGACTAAGCTGCTGGATGACAGTGTTGTCCCCAGAGTGAAAATTCTTCTCCTCTCCTACATTTACCAGTTGTGGGACATTTACCAAGTGCTTAATCTTGTTAGGCCCCCATTTACTTATCTTTTGAATGGGAGAATAAGTCCTACAGGACACTTCCAGGACCAATTTAGGGCTTAAATGAACTAAGAAAGCACCAAACAGGTCAACAATAATTCATTTTGATTTTGAAATTCTGCCTTTCTCTTATGCTTTCCCTTTTAGAATCTGGGTGTGTTTTCTCAGTTACCTGCTATGTTTATGTGAAAGGTGAATGGAAAAAAGAAATAAATAAAAGGAAATGACAGCTCCTAAGGGGTTGAGGGTTTTTTTCTTTTCTTTTTCTTTCTTTTATCTTTTTCTTTTTTTGTTTTGTTTTGTTTTTTATTTTTTGAGACAAAGTAGCTTTGGGGCCTGTCCTGGAACTAGCTCTCATAGACCAGGCTGGCCTCAAACTCACAGAGATCCACCTGCCTCTGCCTCCCAAGTGCTGGGATTAAAGGCATGCACCACCATCACTCGGCTGAGGTTTTTATATAGATGTAAGGAAGAATACAGCAGAAACATCTGGAGAGTCCAGAGTGAATGTAACTGGCAGACTGAGGAGGGTGGGGGCGGGGAGACAGGAGAGTCCCTGGGCTGGAGAACTTTAGTGTGGGGGGCAGGGTGTGCCAGCCAGAAGGACCCTGTAACAGATAGGGATTGAAGGATGCAGGGAGAACCTGGTGGCCAGTATCTGCTTTGGTCTGCTAACAGACACCTCCTCTGTCCTGGGTTCGGTGCACTAGTCTGCTGAGAAGCCACATCCTTACCCCTCCTTAGTTATCACGGCAAAGTGCTGTTTCTTGTCTCTGTTTACCATAAAGCTTCCCTCCATCGGGTGAGTTCCAGGGAAGTAGTTGCCTGTGCCTGCATCTGCCAAAGTGGAAATGTCAGCAAAGCAAGAACGGGTCTGCCTTAACCGATGTCAGGTTTCTGGCGGCACCTGTGCTCTTTCAAACATTGATCCGAATGCTCCCGCTAGTCCCTAATTCCAATATAAGACCTATCAATGACACATTGGCATTTAAGCTTAACTCCCACAGAATCACTAGATTCTTGGCTAAAGCTGTGGTTGAATTAGTGCTGAAGATTTCAAAGATTTTTGTTTTATAGAAAAAAATTTGATTATTAGCCAAGACATTCTGGAGAGGTGAAAATTCCAAAAGCCCAGAACCGTTTGTCCTATAAGCCCTATGATAAGAGTCTGTTATATTAGTGAAAAGTTAGATTCAGCAACGGAGCTGCCCGTATGTGCTGTGGGTTTTTCTGGAGATCAACTCTCCGCTGTTGCAGCCCAGGACAATGAGCCTTTGAAAAGCCATTGGGTTTTTAAAATCCTTTGACTCTGCTAATTGTTCGCTTTGGACAAATAATGTCATTTTTCTGGGACACTTTTGCAAAGGGGGAGCAGTGTTGACCACACAGCACGGAAGTTTGGGAAATGGAGTAGATTAGAAATAACTGGCTGTGAACGAGACACATGATGTTTTTCTGCCCCTCCTTCCATGCTGTAAAATGTGTTTGCAAGCCATTTCCATTTCTCTCCGGCCTGGAAAGTTAAAGGAATTCTCTTTTTCACTTGTTGGCATTCAGGGTTTCAGCTTGCCGGTGTCAGCGTCAAGGCCAGCTGCCTCCTCGACCTCACGTAGATGGGCGCTGGCTGTGCTGCTGAGCTTTTTGTCCTTGGACACTGAAGGACTTGTGTCAGAAAGTCAGGCTGGAGGAGGACCCAGAAACAGTTCTTGGCTCCCGGAGTCTTGTTCCTCCTCACTGCCAGTTTTTCAGGACCTGGGTAGAAATCTCACAAATGGAATATCAGGGAGAGGTTAGAGCAGTGTGGACTGGAAGCTGCCATTCACTTCCTGAGTGGTGCAGAGTCTCACCATGTCCCAAGTGTTCCGTTCCGTTTGCTGAACCATGAGAAAATTTGGCCTTTTTAAAAAGAAGGCACGCTGAACACGGTACGCAGAAAGCGTGGTCAACTATCTGCTTAGGATGCGGATTTGTGAGAGAAAGGAAAAGGTAATATTAGCCTGATCGATTTGTTTTCGATTCCTTTGAAATCCACATTGGGATTTAAATGTCCAGCCTTCTTTCTGTGGGTGAGGACCCACCAAATGCTTTCCCTGTGTGTCTGAAGCAAGAGCTATTTTCTGGGGGTACTTATTGTTTCCCTCGTCCATTTGTGGGCTCCCGTATCTGGGGAGGTGTCTTGGAGAGGGCTAGATTATCCTAGGGGTCCCAATTCACTTTCTTTCTGCCCCACCAGAGTGCTGTCCACTGCTGAGAAGTCAGTTTGGGTCTGGAGGAAGCACAGTTTGATCTGGAACCACGGGCCACATCTGATCTCTTGATCAGAGAGCCACAAGGTGGCGACTGTGAGCCTTCGGGTACTGCACAGACACCTGGAGATTGATGTCTGGGGATGCCTCCAGATGCTTGGGGAGAGGTAAGCCTTTAAGACTTGGACCCTTGGGATGGGGGAGAGGCGTGATGGGGCTTTTCTCTCTGGAGAGGGGTAACTGAGCCTTGGCCTGTAAACCAGAGGACAGAGGACAGACTTGGACAAACTGTATGTGCAAATGTCCCTTGTGGAGCTTGAGAGGCCCAGAACAGAGTCCCCCAAGAACACCCATGAGGTGAGCAAGGCCCCTCCCACAGGGCTAACCAGATTCTCCATCTTCTCGCACCTGCCCCGCCCTGCAGGCAGCTGTCCCCCAGGACCAGTCCCAGAGGGTGTGATCCGCATCTACAGCATGAGGTTCTGCCCCTACTCGCACAGGACACGCCTGGTCCTCAAGGCCAAAGGCATCAGGTGAGAAACTGAGGCCACGTGCTCCCTGAGCACACCCTCACCCCTCATCTCCAGGAGAATATTTCAAGTCTGAGGCTCGGCTCTTTGAAGGGCTTCTCTTCCATTTCTTCTCAGCCTGAGTAACTCCAAGGGCTGAGTTTGTGTAGGATTTCCTGAAATCCTGAGTTCTCTTCCAAATCAGATTTTCAAGAACCAACGGGCACGGCAGCCTACACTGAATGATGCTGTCGGTGAACTGGTCCCCACCTACCCACCCCTGGTTTAGGAAGGGCACGGCCAAGCTCACTGACGCCTCTCCTAAATGCACCGAGGTAGCCCTACCTCCACCCAAGCAGCTTGGAGTAACTCTGTTCTGTTTCTTCACGCTTAACTACTTCCAACATTTCCTAGTTCATTCTGTCTTTCTACCCCCTCCCCCCCCCCATGGCAACCATGCAGGAAAAGAGTTCAAGATAGTAGGCTCTGCCTCGTTGTGGTACTAGAAGAGAGCCTGGCACTTAGTAGGTGTTGAGAAAGTGTTTGTTGGGGATGGAGCTGAACCGCTAGGAGTGCTTGCTCTATTTGCATGAGGCATGGGTTCACACACCCAGTCACCACCTGAAACCAAGCGTGGAGGACCATCCCTGTGACCGCAGAACTTGGGAGGTTGAGACAGGAGGATCGCCTTGGTCACATAAGACCCCCCTCTCACACACAAAATGCAAGTGTCACTCCAGCCTCTGGCTCAGGACTTGGGAAGTCCATCATAGGGGTTGGCGTCAGACGTTCAGTCCGTGTCAGTGAATAGAGGGACCCATGTGGGGATATTTTAAATGAAAATTTTAAATAGCTTTAAGTTAACACTGCATAAATGCTTATGTATGGTATACATTCCCAGAGTATTCCTGCTGGCTCGAATCTACTTAGCTCTATGGTTACCTCTTGTTTTTGTTTACTTTTAGAAAAATCAGAGCAATGCAATGTGTTGCTCATTTGGGCACAAACTGGCCGCTTAGGAACTGATTAAAATAATAGTTATGGGGTTTTGTTGTTTGTTTTGAGACAGGGTTTTATGCAGCTCAGGATGACCACAAACTCAGTATGTATCTGAGGATGACTTTGAACTTTTGATCTTCTAGCTCTTCCTCCACAGTGTTGGAATTACAGCTGTGTGTCACTATGCCTGGCTTGTGTGATGCTGGGGACAGAATCCAGGGCTTCCTTAGCTGGACAAGCACTTCACCAACTAAACTACATGCCTGGACCCATAACTGGTTTTTCCTAGTGGAGTTCCTCAATCTTAGCATCACTGACTGGCATTTGGGGCCAGATGACTCTTTGCTGGTTGTTTGTCAGTATCCCCTTCTTTACCCATTAGGATGGTACCCCACTCCCCTGCTGAAAACCAAAGTGTCCCCGGATATTGATGCTCATCCTTGCATGGAGGAGAGGTAAAATAATCTTGTTGAGAACTGCCGCTTGGAAGAATGTAACCGTTTGTGTTTGTTTCTTTTTTAAATCTTCTTAAACGTGTGTTGTTGCCTCTAGTGACCGGCTGGTTTTGAACTTCCAATAATAATGAGTAGGGGAGGACTGAAAAGTGATTGCGGCTAATTAATGTACTAGGTTCTCTCCCGAACACTACACACGATCCCTGCTTTGATCGCCACAGTGACGCCAAGAGATGGGACTCGTGGACGCTGAGCACCGGGAGGGGAAGGAACTGGCTAGGATCTCAGCTTGAGCACACAGCTTATTCACTGTTAGCATTCACCAGCGTCTAGTATGACCTGTTAATAACACAGTTGTGTTTCTGTGGTTGTTAATGTTTTGCTTTTGAGACAGGGCTTCAAATGTAGCCTAGATTACTCTCTGACTTACAGCCCTGCTGCCTCTGTCTCCTGGGTCCTGGGGTTGCAGACCTGAGCCACCATGTCCTCTTGGACTTGTGCTTGCCGGCTTTCATCTCCCAGCACTGTGGCTGGGTGCATATGGAGTCAGCCTGGCTCTCATCTTGCCTCAGCCACTTCTTAGGAGATGCTATCGGGCTTGAGATTCAATCACAGGAAAAGAGAAGCCGTGGAAGACACCAGTGCAGGAATGAACACAAACATGTCACATATTTGACACAAAGTTCCCGTGTCAAACAGCTCTAAGCACGAATGGTACAGCTGTCTGGTTTTGAGCTGTCTTCCTATTTGCTTCTCATTTCCAGCCTGTCTCCCTTTTGTTTTTTTCAAGGCACGAAGTTATCAACATTAACCTGAAAAACAAGCCTGAGTGGTACTACACAAAACATCCTTTCGGCCAGATTCCTGTCCTGGAGAACAGCCAGTGTCAACTTATCTATGAATCCGTCATCGCTTGCGAGTACCTGGACGACATCTACCCAGAAAGGAAGCTGTTTCCATACGACCCTTACGAACGAGCTCGCCAGAAGATGTTACTGCAGCTGTTCTGTAAGGTACACACAATTGTGTAGAGGAGCTGTTCTGTAAGGTACACACAAATTGCGTAGAGGAGCTGTTCTATAAGGTCTAAAATATTGGAGTGGCACTGTGCCTGGAGGAAGAGAGACAGCACTCTCGGAAGCATGAGCCCTGGGTACAGGTGTTGGTAATGAGAGAAAAGGTGATAGCAAAGTTAAGACATTTCCCTTAGAAAAGAAAGGAAAATGACTCACTCGGTGATGGCTAAGGAGAGGGCTTGGTGTGAAGTGCTTGCTTGTTGCACAGCATAAGGACCTGATGTGGCATCCTCAGCATCATGTAAAAAGCCAGCATGGCAGTGCTTGCCTGTCTTCCCGGTACTGGGGTGGGGCTGGTGACACAGGAGGATGCCTGGGACTTGCTGGCCAGCTAGTCTCCCTGAATCTGCCAGCTTCTGTCTCAGCAAGGAAGCCACCCAGCCTGGTGGATGGCCCAGGTTCCATCCCCCGGACCCATGTGGTGGAGGGAGAGAACTGACAACCCGCAGGTTGTCCTCAGAGCCCCACATGCATTTGTCGGCACTCGTGCATTGTGCCACATGTGTGCATGCATATGTGTGGGCATGCATGTGTGCATGCATGCACACAATACACACGAACACACATGAGCACATTAAATAAATAAGAATATGAATAAATGTTTTAAAAATAAGATGGAGAGTGAGTGAGGACGACACACAATGTTGACATCTGATCTACACACACACAATACACACACACACATGCACATACAAAAAAGTTCAGGTACTAAATGCTATTAATAGCATTAATTATGCTATTAATTAATAACATATATTGAACACTTGTGATGTTCCAAACTTTCTCTGTCTACTGATTCCCTCCCTTGACTGCCCTAGGAGGTGGGTATTGTTACTGGAACCATTTTTCAGATAGGAACACTGAGGCTTAAAGAGATTAAGTGTCCCCACTAAGAGCTTACAGCATGGAACTGGCTGATCAAGCAGGGGGCACTGAGAACCCTGTGAAAGCTCTTAGCCTGAGCAACTGCTGTGAGAAGTGGCTACACTGGCATGTAGCCAAGTCCTCCCGTGCTGGAGTTGGGACGTCTCACTGCATTTGGGTCGGAGTGGGGACAGTTTTCATAAACACCTCCTGTAGGAACCTATGTCCTCTGTCTAGGTCCCACACTTAACCAAGGAGTGTCTAGTAGCGCTGAGATGCGGGAGAGAGTGTGCGGACCTGAAGGCTGCCCTGCGTCAGGAGTTCTGCAACCTGGAAGAGGTACGGAGGAGCGTTTGTCCTGTCAGGTGATGGACCAAGCTCTGTGTACTGCTTCTAATCTGCCTGCCATCACCTGCTTGCAGACTTTCTGCCAAGCTTTGACGTGGTCCCTTTCTGGTCCTCTGACTGTCCCCTGTGAATGCTTGCATCCCTCACCTGCTTTGGAGTGATTCTTGAAGAGTTGTCAAGGATGAGCAACATGTTTGTCCTTTCCTGGAGTTGTGGTGTTCCCTGAGATTCTCTGCATTTCTGCTGATGGGGCTGAGGTATTGGTAGCAGCTGTGTGGGACCTAACTGCTGAAGGCATGGAACTGTATCTAATGATGGTTTGTTCTCTCACGTTGGGAAGCCAGAGGGAGTCCAGGGCTGCTTCCATGCTTCCTCATGAAGCTAGCAGAGGAGGCGGAGAGGGGAAGTTATCTTTTAGTTGAGGTACCCCAAATAAAATCAGTTTTGTGTGTTTTAGAAATGGAAGGTCAGTGGATGGACAGGGAGCAGTCTTTGCTGGTAGAATCTGCTGTACCAGGGCAGTAATGGGACTCTCTACCACCCACCCCACTCTGAGTATGCTCTGTGGGTCTCTTTACCTTTGGTCTGGAAACCAAAATGAATTCTTTTTATGGGTGAGGCTGCTCCTCTGTTGACAATCAGTGCTATCTTTATACCTTTACGAGATGGCTAGCTATTAATATTCTTCCATTTGACTTTATCGGCTAGTTACAGATTAAATCCGCACATGCTTGTGTTTCCTGTCTTGCAGCTGTACAGTTGCAGTGATTTGAGAGTAATAAGAAATATTCACTTGTGTCCTGAGGCCTCAGACTCCAACAACCCCTCGGTGGCTTTGCTGGACTCTGGAGCCTTGGCCAAGAGGAATCCCGGGAATGGTTCTAGAACTGCTTCACCAACACTGCCTTTAATCGCAGTGTTGAAAGAGCCATCTAATAAGAGAGTCTTTGCCCAGAAAGAGGCAACATTGCTTGAAAAGAAGCAGCCGAAACCTCTCTGAGCAGAGAGTTGTCAATTTCTCTATGTTTGGTGGAGGTTGTTTTTGTTTCTTGTTTTTTGTTTTTTTTTTTTTAATTTTTTTTATTATGTATACAGTATTCTCAGTATTCTGTCTGCATGTATGTCTGCAGGCCAGAAGAGGGCGCCAGATCTCATTATAGATGGTTGTGAGCCACCATGTGGTTGCTGGGAATTGAACTCAGGACCTTTGGAGGAGCAGGCAGTGCTCTTAACTGCTGAGCCATCTCTCCAGCCCCTTGTTTCTTGTTTTTGAGACAGGGTCTCTTACTATGTAGCCCTTGGATTCACAGAGTTCTGCCTGTCTTTGCCTTCCAAGTGCTCGGATTGAAAGTGTGTCATCATACCCAGCTAATTTCTCTCTCTCTCTCTCTCTCTCTCTCTCTCCCTCTCCCTCTCCCTCTCCCTCTCCCTCTCCTTCTCCCTTTCTCTCCTCTCAATCAAGTTTTATTTTTGTATGGTATTGACTTTTCCACTTCAGTATCACACTCGAGCCAAGTTCTGTTTTTCTTGTCTTTGTGGATTCCAGCATGGAAGGACCTATCAGGAGTTCTTTTTTTCTGCCAGTGACTTAGTCCAAACCTTTTCATGGTGGTAGTTGTCAAATCTAGCCCAGGGTAGTGCGGTAGCTTTCTAGATTGGACAGAATTTTTTTCCTGGTGGTGTTTGGTTCTCCCTCACAGTCCATGTGATCTTGCCTTTAGGCTTTGGCTCTGCTCTCTGGCTCTGCTTGGTTCTTTTCCAGCTGTTATCAGATGTGATGCAGAGTAGACTGAAACATCACTGAGGGAATGGGCATCTGAAACCTTCATCTTCCCACGGCCATGAGGCACTTTCTGGCTCAGCTTCTCGGTGTCTGTGGGCCTGCTTTGTATTCCCGTCGTTCGCATTTCCATGCAGAGTTTCCCACATGTCTCGTCTGCACAGTTTGCCTGCGGGTCGTGTCTGCTTACGCGGTGCGTGCACCACTAAGGAGCTCCCGTGGTTTGTTGAGTTTAAATTTCACCCGTCATCTTAACTTCTTTCTTTCTCTTCTTTCCTGCCTCTTCTCCCCCTCCCACCTTTCCCACATTTTCTTTTCAGAGATGGTCTCACTGTATAGCCCAGGCTGACTGCAAGCTCTTCATCCCCCTGCCTCAGCTTCTTCAGTTCTGACATTAAAGGCATGCTCTACCATGCTCAGCCATAATGTTAATGTTTAATTTGTATTTTCTTCTTTACAAACAAAAAGGCATTTTTGCCCATTTGTTTGTGCTGCTTGGTTAAGTTTGCTGTCTTGTAAAAACTGTTCAAGGATGCTGTAGTCTCCACTCTAAGATCATGCTAGCTGTTCTTATTAATTGGTGGAGTCGCTCATATTTAAAGGTTACTTGACTATTTTTAAAATGCAGTTTTGTTCTCTTTTCTTCTTTTAATTTTTTTTAAGACAGGGTTTCTTTGCAGCTTTGGCACCTGTCCTGGTACTAGCTCCTGTAGACCAGGCTGGCCTTGAACTCACAGAGTTTGTTTTAACTTTTGATTTCACTTATCTCTGCTGCATATGGAGGTATAACATTTTAACAGGGGCAGAGTTTCCTGTTGAGCATTCTTCACTGCGTTTGGGCGCGGGGGGGGGGGGGGGGGGGGGGGGGGGGGGGGGGGTGGTGGTGGGGGGGGAGGTGGTGTGCGTGTGCAGGGATGGGAAGGGGATTCATTGGAATTTTCATCCATCTACTGCTTTGTGGGCTGTGGTCAGGGACTTTCTAACCTTTACTAAATAGATTTCGGATAAAATAATTCAGCCGCTGTAGAGGATGGCAGTGAGTATTTCCAGGCGTCCCCTCAGTCCCCAGATGTCGGCCAGCTGGAGTTTGCATCTTCATAGACTAACGCCGTCCTAATTGGTGGTCGGGGGAGCGGAAGGGCAAGTCCTACCAAAGCCCTACTTCTCAGCCTTCTTCCTAACAGAGCAGCGGTCCCTTTTACAGGAACCCTGTTCACTACGCTGTGAGCTCAGTTTGGTTTGTCCTGTGTCTGCGTGGCAAGGACCTGGAATTTAAAATCTTGAAACCTCCTTTTATTTTCTTCTCAACTCAAAAGGTCTCTGTCCCAGACTCGAGTGTTCTGCGGCTGCCTCTGGAGGTGGGCTTGATTCTACTGCTTTTGCCCTTGAAGGTGCTGTTTTGCATTTGCAGAAAAGGGCGTGTGTGACTTCCGACTTGTAGGAATTCTTCCCCTCCTCCATCAAGTACAGGGCGTCCAGTGGGAGACACAGCACCACCAGAGGGCTGGAGACCAAGGATTTCCTGGTGATGGCCTAAACGATAGCAGTATAAAGCCGGTGGCCATCCAAGGGTTGAAGATCTTATACTGGACTTTTTGGAATGTGTGGTCTAAAAGAGTCTGGGATTAGCTTTATAAAATCGCTCTTCTGTTACCAGAATTGGGCTGCTGTGTGGCCCAAAACAGTACATGGTGTAGGAAATAAGTTCTTTTCCAGTTCTGGAACACTTCTTTCTTAAATGCCTTAAAGGTTTTTCTCCTCTTTGACTTAGAGAGGTCCTGGCCGCTGCACCACACCACCGATGGCCACCAGGGGGAGTCCCACACACATCTTCCACTTGTGTTCCCTGTTGGTGTTTCTCCTCTATCGACCTAGGGGGAGCCCGAGAGTCCCCTAGCAGGAGGTGAAGGGTTTCTCTGGTTCCTGGGTGAAAATACGACATCGTCACCAAACCAAACATCCCTCCTCTGCTGCTGTCTCTCACCAGCTACTTCTTATTGCGCCTCCAGTCTTCCTTTTCAGTGCGGAAAAGAGAACAAATCTTGCATTGCTATTTTAAAACGTTTTACTTATTTATATTTTTATTCATCACTGTATGTGTGTGTGTGTGTATATATATATACGTATATATATATACATACTGTGTGTGTGCGTGTGTGTGTGTGTGTGTGTGTGTGTAAGCAGGCACACATGTGGGGGTCAGAGGATACCCTCTGCTGTTGAGTCTCACCCCCATCTTGTTTGAGGCAAGCATCTCTGTTGGTTTTCCTCTGTTTGGTCAGGGTGTCTTCCCACAAGCTTCCCAGATTCCTCAGTTTCAGCCTCGTATCTGCAAGGAGCGCAGGGACTGCAGAGGTCTTGTTCCTCTCTCAGGCCCTAACTGGCTCTTTGTCCATCTGTTTGTTTACACCTGGGATTTTAGGATTTGGCCTCGGGTCCTTACCCTTGCTTGGCATGCACACTTGCCCACTGGTCCTTCTCTCCAACCTCAGAACATTTTAAGGTAGAACCTTTTGAATGCTGCAAACACCAAATGCCCCTTTGCAAGATCTCCCTGGCACAGTATTCTAGGAGCGGAGTAACACTGTGTCTGAGAGGTACCAGATTTGCATAGAAGGGAGCACCAGCTGTTGAGGATCCTGAAGATAGCTGCAAGCCTCCAGGGAAGCCAGGCCAGGGTGTCCTGTGTCACCTGGAGGCAGCTGTAAAGGAATCCACGTGAGGGGAGTTTTAGACTTGCCCTGTACTCTAGTAACATGAAGCAGTTTAGGAGAAGGGCTTATTTGGGCTTATGATTTAAGGGTACCACCAATCATGGCAGCCAAGGCATGGAGGCAGAAACAGTTTGCAATTGCAGAAGCAAAAACATAAGCCTGCTTGTTCACATCTGTGGATCAGGCAGCAGCGACCAGACTTTTAAATGGTGGGCTTCAGCTGCTCTGAACACCAAGGCAGTTGAGTGTCTTCTGCGTTGTCCTTCCCCCTCTGTCTTAGCTACTTTTCCGCTGCTGTGAAAAGGCACCATGCCAAGGCAAGTTGGAAGGGTTTATTTGGGGTTTGCAGTCCAGAGGGTTAGGGGCCCACGACCATCATGATGGGGAGCACGGCAGGCATGGCGCTGGGGCAGCAGCGGAGACCCCACATCTCAGTCTGCAAACAGAAAGCAGAGAACGCTAACTGGAAATGCCGGGAGACTTTTGAGGTCTCCAAGCCCACCCATGACACATCTCCAGCAAGACAACACCTCCTGGTCATTCCTAAACAGTTCTACCACCTGGGGACCAAGTGTTCAGACATGAGCCCACGGGGGCCATTCTCCTCCAAGGCCACACTCTCTAAGCCAGGTCTTACTAGTAAGTGTCTGGAACAAGCAGTGGAGTCACATCTCATTGTTCAGACGCTTTTGCCTCCGTTTGTCCTGTTAGCGTCTCGATGTCACCTGCTGTGACAATAGTCAGGGAGCCTGTTTGCTACCCTGGGGAACAGGAAGGCTCTAGGGCCATGGGGTTTGCTTTCCCTCTGAGAAGGGAAGGCAGGTAGGGGAGCTCCTCTATCCTCCGTTAGTAGGAAGTTCTCCCTGTGGAGCCCTCAGGGCCTAGGCTGTACATACAGGGCAGGCTCGCAGGCTCATGCCTTCTCGCCACACCCTGAGGTACTCTGAGGGGACCACAGCTACTACCATCCCCTTTCAGATGAGAATTCTGACTGGTGGGAGGAAGGAAAAATATCATCCTGGGTTTCACATTGTGCCAGAGGTGAAGTTCAGCACACTGAGCATATTTTTGAGTGCAAAGCCACGGCCACAGCCAGGAGAGCAAACACGTTTGGAGCATGCCTGGCTTTGGATGCCATTTCTGCTCGGTGACGTCCACTTTGAGTTTTTTGAAATAGGGTCTCTCACTGGCTTGGGGCTCACTGATTTGGTTAACTCTCTGTCAGGGACTCTGGAGGTTCCACCTGCTTCTGCCTCCTCATCTCGCCGGGAACGTGTGTGTGGTGTATGTGTGTGTGTGTGTGTGTCCGTGCACACTTCTATGCCAGCCTTTTCTACGTGGCTTCTGAGGACCAGATTCTGCTCCTGGGCTTGTGTGGCAAGCCCTTTACCTACTGAGCCATACCCCAGCCCAGAATTTACAGTTGGACTCTTTGTGGAGGTCCGTGCCTCAGCAGGGTCTCCAAATCTAAGATGGGAACACCAGCACAGCTTCTTCACACAGCTCACCAGCCCAGCAGCCTCCGCCGGCAGCCCAGAGAGAAGCGTGGAGCTGGTTCTATGCTGTGTAGGTCGGTGTGAGCGGTTGACTTCCTTGGGAGCTTGTTCTCTTTGGGAAACTGTGGTTCTGTGATTGGGAAAACTGCAGGCTCTTTCTTGTGGCCGTCTGGCTATGGTGTGTCAAAGATGTGTTTTCCTTCCAGTCCACCTATGTGGGTTGTCCCATTTGAGAAAGAAAATGTTTATTTTATTGTAGAATGTTGATGTTGAGCAGCATGAAGTTGGAAGAATTTGAATAAAAGAAGAAAGTATGATGAAGACCATGCTGGGAGGCGGGGAACCCACTGAACAGCACTAATTTGTCTTAGCTCCGAACCCATGGAGAAGGCAAAAGGGAGACCAGTGCAGACCGCAGCATCCCCTTTAGTACCAGGAGTACGTGGGAGATGAGGTCACAACACCAGCAAGGGGGGTTTCTATGCTGGTTTTTAGCAACTGGCTCAGACTTTTCATGTCCCTGGAGAATGGGCAATGCCGGCCTAAGGTCCAGCTTCCCAGCTCCAAGCTGAGATGATCTAGAAACAGCCTAGGACTTGGAGAAGCCTGTCCCAGGCTGAGGGAAGGGCTGGGCTACCTCTGCCTGGGTTGCTCTTTGCATATTCTCCAGCCATGTTGTTTGTTCAATGTTGAAGGGAGGCAGGGAACAGGGTGTGGCCAAGACTGTGGCCCTAAAGGAGCTGGGGCAACCCTGGCAGAGGGAGGAAGCCATCTCTTGAAAATAGAACACTGGCAGGCAAGGTTTTCTTCCTTGTAATTAATCTGACATTTTAATTTTGCATCTGTAATCATGTCAGCAAATGTGTAAATTAACCGGCTATTGTTCTGTGTATATTTCTAGATTCTTGAATATCAGAACACTTCCTTCTTTGGTGGAGACTGTATATCCATGATTGATTACCTCTTCTGGCCCTGGTTTGAGCGGCTGGATGTATATGGACTATCTGAGTAAGACATTTTACTATATGATTGCAAATTCACCGAGTGCCACCTGTTGAGATGCTCTGGGTACTACTATCTCCCCTGTAGACTGTCTCAGAATGTTTGTGAAACAGAAATCAGGGCTGGACGCCACTCATGCGTGCTTCCTTGTCCAAAGAGCACCTGTTTTTCTCCCACTAAGTAGAGGCTTGCATGTTACCTACATCTCTGCGGATAAGACCGTGTGTGCAGAGGCCTTCCTGGTGCTTCAGAGCCCACTGTCTCCTGTGTATTCACAGACAGGTGAAACAGCCTGTAGCTCCCTCCACGGCCGCACAGCTGGTCCTGCTGAGTCGCAACACATGCCGCACACCTGAGCCCCATCTCACACTCCCCTCCCCAAATAGGAATGCCCTTTAAAAGCCAGAAGGTTTCAAAAGCAATGTGTGCATAATCTTCACATAAATAAAGGGTAACCGCACATCAAGGAAGCACCACACTTTTTTGTAAGCATGTTTAAAGCGTGGCAGGGCTTTGTCGCCTCAAAGTTCTGCAGTGACACCGGACGGATGTGTGAACTGCCGACTCCGACCTCTGTCAGCCACATTAGGCATGCTGGGCACTTCCAGCATTTGGAAAGTAGTTCTTCCCATCAGACCTAAGGTGACCGGATAGTTAAACATGCAGGTAAGTTATATTAGCTCCCTCCAGGGCAGAGTGGTTATGGCCGCCATCCACCAGCTGTCTTACCTTAGCTCATCACCTTGCCCACCCTAGACCCGACCTCCTCTGTCCGTCTTTGAAAGGGCCTCTATTTCCAGGTTTCAGGGTTGTTTTATTTATTGTGAAAGTATTTGGAAAAGTGCTCTTTTTCTTTTTCAAAGCCCTACAGTAGAATCTGAAAATTGTCTAGGACAGTTAGCATGAGAGGGTGCTGGTCAGTCAGCAGTGAGCTGAAGACACTTGATCCCCCTGCCTCAGTTCACAAGCATTTCCCCACTTTCACAGAAGCCACCGTCACAATGTCAAGGGTTGGACACACAGTTCCAAGTGAACCCTTTTCCTCACCAAGATCAGACTTCCTGGATAGTCACTGAGCTTGCCGTAGTTCCCAAACAAGCCCATAGTTTTGTTTCTTCCAACTCTATAAAGTGATACATGCCCCCTCGCCCACCCTCTCCTTTCCTGTCTTGCAGCTGCGTGAATCACACCCCGAATCTGAAGTTCTGGATATCCACCATGAAGCAGGACCCCGTGGTCTGTGCCCTGCTCATTGATAAGAACATATTCTTAGGCTTCCTGAATCTCTATTTTCAGAACAACCCTGCTGCTTTTGACTTTGGGCTGGGTGTCTCAGCCATTCGGTGATCACTGCGTTGCCCAGGATTCTCGGTGTATCAGATTCTGCGTCACGGGTTGTCTTGGGGGGTCAGTGCATTTCTGTTCTTTTTTTTTTTTTCTTTTTGAGGTCCTTCATAAACTTGGAAATGTAAAATATAGTCTAATTGTCACGTGTCTGAATCCCGTAGCTTCTCTAGAAAGCTCCCAGCTCTGATATGGAGGCGCATTTGGGAACTAGACTGACTCCTGCTCCTCAGCCTTTGCTGCTCTTCAAAAGTCTCTGGAGAGAAGAAATCCTGAGGAGGAGGTAGAAGAGGAGGAAGAACAAAGAGAAAGAAACCAACCGCACACACTCTGTGTTGAAATACTATTCTCTTAGCAGGGAAACACTGCTGGCCACATGGGAAGGCATGCCTATCATTCCTGTTCAAACTTTGGCCACGGGCCTGGGAGACACCCAAAGGGTCTTGTGACTGGAAAAAATTCCAAAGCAGGAAATGAAACACCCGTTTTTCACCCTGGACCAACTACGTCAGAATCTCACCGGTATTACTGGAGCTCAGTGTGCCTCACATAGTGTTTTATTAACCAGCATCCTGCCTCCAAAACACCTGCCCCTCTAGTCCCAGTCTCAGGCAAAGGTCACTGTGGATGTGCGTCACACACTCAGTTGGTTCCAACAGACGCCTCTGTTGCTTCTTGGGTACCAGATCCTGGACCATGGGGAGGGGAGGATAACACTGATGAAGATGTGGACCCTGCCCCATGGACCTCCTATCTCTACATCAGGTTGGCCCAAGCCTTTGCTGTAGTGTGGACAGTTTGTCTTGGCTTCCATGTAGCCATCAGCTTGACCAGGCAGTGCCGTGCCACCAGAGACTGAGATGCCAGTGAGCTGTGGAAAGTGGCTGGTCTGCCAGCAGGTGCCTTCAGCAGGGAGCTGCTGCCACTTTCTCTGGAGGAGGTTCGACACTGTCCCTTGCTGTTCTATGCCAGTGTGTCCTAGCAGCCTGGGATCATTTTGGTTTTGTTCTCCCTTCATAGTCTTCCGGTCTTCAGCATCCCCAGCCATGCCCAGAAGCCAGGCAACAACAAGTGTGACGTTTTGACTTCTCCATGCCCCTGCTTTGGACTCCATTCAGACCAACCCCCCCTCTCTCCTGGCATCTTGGCTGGCACTGATGCCTGCTGGCTGCGGGCTTATTTTACACCAGGTGCTACTCCGTGCCAGGTGCACATAGGCAAGCCTCTTTGGTTAGGTGACCAGGCCTGCCAGAAGAGGCACCATGTGACAGGCAGTTTGTGGTACCATCTGCTCCGGATGTGGTGCCCTGTTGCCATGGTACCCAAGTTACTGCAGAGTCGAGTCTGTGACTCATTATTCCCTAGTACCTATGCTTGGAAAGAGGGAATGGTTGCTGTGGTCTCCGCTAGGACCGCAGGGACTGGCGAACTCTGCAGGTGTCTAGAGAGGCTCCAGCCTGTGACCTAACTGTTGCGGTACACAGAAAATGCGTATCTCCGAGTTAGAGAGGTAGAGGTATACTCTCGAGGCTTCACAGAGTAGCTTACAAAACTCGAAGAACCTGGACACATGGGCTGGAGAAAAGTGCTCACGGGGAGAGAGGTTGCAGGCTGACGGCCCTCGGCCTCATCTGGGCCTTAAATGGCCTTTGGGTGTGTGGGTGTGCTGGTTCACGTGGGCCGGTGAAATGAAGACTCAGAGACACCTTTAGAAGGCACGTAGCCTCCGTGGGTGCAGGGGCCGCAGTCTTGGTGAACTGAAACACTTTCCCTTTGCCTCTTGGCCTCTTTATTTTTTTTCCCTATATTTACACTTTAGCCAGTGGATTTCCAAATCTCAAAACAAAATGAAGTTTCCTGCAATACAATGCCAGGTGCAAATACCTGATTCATGAGGTATCACGGTTTTCCCAGTTTCCTCTAAGCCAAGTTTTGCATAGGCTTTGTATCCATGGGAAACTCTCAGACAAGAGTCACACAGGGCTGTTGTAGGTGTCTGTAACACAAAGGATGGATTAGGGGCGCAGTGAAAACCCCAGAGCTAGGCCAGTATAGCCCAGTGGAGGTGGTTTGCTAACCTCTGGCTCCAGGCCACATGCCGGGGTCCTGGTTTCAGTCACTGCCTTGACCTTATTCCTTCTTGTTACTTTCTCCTATTTTTCCTCTTTTCTTCCTTAAAAGGGATTTATTTTGTATGAGTTTAAATGTTTTATGTGCATGTATGTATATGCACCATGTGTGTACCTGGCGCCTGAGGAGGAGGTCAGAGTTCCCTGGAACTGGAGTTACATGGTTGTGAGCCGCCATGTAGGTGCTGGGAATCAAACCCGGGTCTTCCGGAAGACAACAAATGATCTTAGCCACCGAGCCATCTCCCCATCCCTCCTCTGGCTTCTCAATGTCACCTCCCTGACTCATACAGAAGATGGAGTCACCAATCTGTGGCTGAAACTAGGAGGCTGGAGCCTGAGGAATACGACCCAAAATCAACCATAGTTCATGAACTTGAAGAGTTTTTAATGGGGTTGAAGGAAGAAAAGCTATGTCAAAAATTATTGTTGGCTAGGGTGAGGGCTCAGTAAAGTGTTTACTGCACAACCATGAGACCCCAAGTTTGGAGGCCTCGCACTCAGGTGAAAAGCTGGGCATGGTGGCACGCGCCTGCAATGCCAGCACTGGGAAGGCAGAGACAGGAGTCTCTGAGAGTTTGCTATCCAAGCTAGGCTAGCTACATCTGTGTGCTCAACAAGGGGAGACTTTGTCACAAAACGTGAGAGCCTGGAGAGATGGCTCAGTGGTTAAGGACTGAGTTCCATTCTCGGCACCCACGTGGCAGTTCATGGCCATCTATCTGTAACCCCAGTTCCGGGGATCTGGCCCTCTCCTCTAGCTTCCAAGGGCACTGCACATGTGGTCCATACATATCCACGCAGGTGAAGCACACACACATATAAGATGACTTTAGAAGGTGGAGAGCCATAGAGGAAGATACCGAATGCTGACCTCTGGCCTCCGTGTGCACACATGTGTACATGCATACCCCATACTTACACACACAAATGCAGTAATGTGAAAAATGGGAAGACTTGTATGATCTCCAGAGAAACGTTTTTAATGTTGCTTGTCTTGTAGGGAACAATTTAAACCTTGGGACTGAGGTAAGGCAAGAGCCCCACCTCCAGAAGCATTTGAAGTATGTTATGGTCATAGATGATGCTCATGTCAGAACTCCTGAGCAGAGGATGCTGGGCAGCACTTTCCTCCCAGGGGAGATTCTGAACTGGAGCGCCTTCTAGATTAGTCCAGTTACATCCTAGCTGGACTGGGCGGTAGAGGGCGCGTGGAGCTGCGCCTGCGGTGATGGGAGTGGTGGGTAATTTCGAAATGTTATTTGAAATTCTCTGATCTCAGCCAATAGATGTGGCTATGGTTGTTAAAAGGGATTTAATCTAGACTACACTTCCCTTTTCTGATGACAGGCCTGCTGTGTGTGGCTGTCATAGTGCCTTGGTGGGGGATAGTCTCTCCCTTTAGGTCCCCCAGAGTGCACAAACACCCATTGTCATTGCTCTGCTTCCTTTACACTCTCTCGCTCTTCCTCTCCTCTGTATCTGTCTCTCTCTCACACACGCACACACACACACACAGAGCATGGCTTTCTTGTTGGAGAGGAACTGGGATACTCCATGCTGACCAAATGCCACATGCCTGTGTTTTCTATCGGCCTGTCTGTTGAAGTCTCCATCACTACGGATACTGAAGCCCAAGGGATTTCCCATAACTAGCTTCCAGCCCCTTCCTCCCAGCATTGCCACTGAACAGAACATGGAGAGGCCCCAGAATGGTCATGACATTTACATGTGTATGTCATGGAAGGACTATGGAATGCTCGACTGGGTCATGCCCTCCGCACCATGACCACAGCTGCTTTGGACAACAATGGTCCTTAGACAACTTAGCCGTTAGCAGCCAGCTTCCCCTTTATGGCAATGTTTGGATAGCAGTCATCATCCCCCGACCTGGATCAGTCAGGAAAGGCCTGTCTTGGGCCTAGGACAAGGCAACAGAGGTCAGAGGTCAGCAGAGTTTTGAGCCTGGTCTACAGAGCAAGTTACAGGACAGCCAAGGTTACATACAGAGAAACCCTGTCTTGAAAAAACAAAAACAAATAAAACAAACAGACAGACAGACGAATAACCGGTGAAGGCTGGAGGTGTTTAATTCTTTTTGTCTTGAAGTGATTGAGTGGGGACTGGTGTCCACTTGCTGAACAGAAAGACCTTTGAGAAACTTTGTTTCATCTGAGGTTCTGTTCCTGACATCGGAAAGCAGCATGGAGGTGGGGTGAGGGTACCCTCAGATGTCCCAGCTTCAGTGGTAGAAGAGGATGCTGGCCTGAAGCCAGGGGAAGAGGTCACCGGGGCTCTCTGAGGAAGCTCTATAGGAAGTCTTCGGCTAAAACCAGCCCCCCATTGTGGAAGAGGGGGACAATAAAAAGTTGGTTTTTTTCTTTCTTCTTCTTCTTCTTCTTCTTCTTCTTCTTCTTCTTCTTCTTCTTCTTCTTCTTCTTCTTCTTCTTCTTCTTCTTCTTCTGGAAAAACCCTCATTAATCAAAATAAAGTTGTTTACTACACACTTAATGCATGTTGGGACCTCACCTACAATACCTACCCTTCAAAACCTTGCACGGTGAGTCACTCCCCATCTTACAGATGTGCAAACTGAGGCTTTGAGGTCCTGTGACTTGTCCAGATGTCCTAGCTGGGAGTGGGCAGGGCTAGGCTTTGCACGAGTGCCCTCGCCCTCTGGGGATCTCGGCTTTCCTTCACCAATTCCTGCTGGTCTCGGCCCTCCCCAGCTTCCTCTTCCACCAGGAGGGATTGGAGCTCTCAAGCAAGAATCCTGCCTTTGCCTTTGCTTTCCTGGTCCCTTTATAATAGACAGGGCACATAGACAGCAGTGACTGCCGCCAGTGTGTCTGCTGAATGAGTAGCCATGAGTCG